GCTGGAATCCAACAGGCATCTAAGGCTAGAAAAATCTCACTTTTCTTTTCCCATTTAGATATTTTATAGCAGGAAAAAAATGTCAATATATTCCATCTTTTTGCCCTTTGTAGGGTATGTGACCCAAACTCTATACTTTCGTCTTTTCACAAAGGAAGGATTTCTAACACGAAGGGAACTAGTAGAGGCTTTAAATGAAATAAGGAAATGAATCACAGAGATTGCCAGTCTGTGTGTTTGACTGATAGTTACCTTTGAACCTTGTCAGGCTTACTATGCAGTCAAGGTGCTAATTACATTCTTAAAAAAGACAGTAGGAGAGAAAGCAAGCATGAATTAGAGACAAAAATCCCTGAAGATATTCCCTTCTGTACCTCTTAGAAGAAACCTAACAAGGTCCATCACAGCCTGGATTTCCACGTTATGCATTGGATTTCACAAATGAGCAGACTCTAAGCAGTCAACAGAGCATCTGAATAAGTAAGATGTGAAGGCAGAGGAAATCACTGCTTGGAGAGAAAGAACCCAGTGTCTAAGTTTGTAGAAGAAAGTACACTGGTTCTAACAAGTCAAGGTTGTAGGTTCCAGAGGGCTAATTTTATATAGATGAAAAACTGTCTTCCAATGTCAACAATTACACCTTTAACCACAGCTGGCACACTCATAAATGCCGACTGATGACACAAAAGGTACAATGGGCAATACAGGATGGTGAGCTTGGTGCCAACCCATCCCTGCTATTGAAAAAAAACAAAACTCAAAGTGTAACGTGACTAATCGGGTACAAAATATGAATGCCCTTCGCACATTACTCTGGCCTTGACATAGCCCAACTACTCTGGACACTCTTGGGCACTGGACAAGAACATGAGTAAGAGAACAATCCATCACATCTACTGTCTGTGGTCTTCACATCACACAACAAAAACACATTTGTTAGGTTCTTTCTAATTACAAGCCCCATAATAAATACCTGAACAATATAATTTGCAACATAATGAAGTCAATAGGCAAATAAGACATCAGATGACCATTCCAAGTTCCAAACAATTTCAAACTCAAGTGGACTTTCTAACTTTTCACTTAACAGAAGAAATAGCTATAGGACCAAAATTAGAAATAAAGCTCACATGCTCTGAAAAACCCCTATATTAAAAGTTCCTTTTGTAGAAAATTCAAACATAAACAAAAGTACACAGAACAGCACAAATTAATCTCATACCACTGTCATGTACCATCAGTCAGTGTCATCAATTATCAACTTGTAACCAATTTTGCTTTATCTCTACCCCTAGATATCAAGTTATTTCATCTCTAAACATTTCCGTAAATCCTTACAATTTTGACTGATAGAATTTGTGAGGTTTTGTGTTTTATGTTCATTGCCTTTTATTTTAAATACCTTTATCAGTGAAAGAGAGGAAACTGGTGTTTACTGAAAGCAAGAAGAAAATTTAGATTTTTCCGTTGTTTTTTTCTTGTTTGTTTTTTTTGTTCGTTTTTTTTTCCTCTGGAATATCTGGGACCTAAATACAGATGTAAACTGTTTTTCTGCCTGCTACTGAAAGAGGGAACAGAGCTGGCAAGATACAGTCATTCAGTTTGACAAACATTAACTGGGCACGTGGGATGGGGCTAGGTGCTAGAGATACGAAAAAGAGTAAAACAAAGATTCTTTCTCTAGAATGGGTGAGACAGACACATAAACAGAATAGTATACAGAAATGTATTGATTTGAGAGAGAGGAAGAGAGAGAGAGAGAGAGAGAAACATTGATGTGAGAGAGAAACATCAATCGGTTGCCTCCCATAAGCATCCTGACCAGGAATCAAATCCACCAACATTCAGTGTATGGGATAATGCTCCAACCAACAGAGCCACACCAGCCAGGGCTGTATCATTTTTCATAAGCCCATCCTTAATTTTTTGCAACCGTTCCAGCTTTATTTTGGTTTCTTGGGCATGACTTCTTGCTAAGCTCTACAGGCCTTGGTACTTCCTACACTGAGAAATCCTAACCTCTTAAGAAATGCATTCAAATAATTCTTTGAAGAGATAACATTTGAATTGGCCTTCTAGGAGTGAGGCTACAGGATAGGTATGGGACACGATTCCAGCAGAAAGAAACTGCAATGATGACAATGACGTTGATGAAATTAACTGACATTTACAGTGTTTCTTGTATGACCAGTGCTGCTAGGTGGTTTACATGTTTTGATTCAGTTAATTGTCACAAACACTTTCTGAGATTTGTTCTTTTGATATAAATCAGTAATTTTCAAAGTGAAGTGTATGCAAAATAATGCATTGAGTATGGAAAGAAAAGATTAAAATGTGTATTTATATATTTTAACCTTATTTGTTTAAAATGTCTATTTTATTTTGTGATTGCTTTGTAATAAACATAGTATATTAGCACAGTGTTAAGTATGCTCAAATATTTTATACCAAAAGGGTTAGGGTTAGGGTTAGGGTTAGGGTTGGGATAGGGTTATGGAAAATGATACAGCCCTGGCTGGTGTGGCTCGGTTGGAGCATCATCCCATACACTGAAAGTTGGTGGGTTTGATTCCGGTCAGGATGCTTATGGGAGGCAACCAATCAATGTTTCTCTCTCACAACAATGTTTCTATCTCTCTCTCACTTCCTCCCTCTAAAATCAATACAAAAATGATACAAATAAAAATTATGTGATTATTGCCCTGGCCGGTTTGGCTCAGCAGTTAGAGCGTCAGCCTGAGACCAATGAATCACGGGTTTGATTCCGACCAAAGGGCATGTACCTCAGTTGCGATTTGTCCCCAGCCCTGGTTGGGGTGGTGCAGGAGGCAGCCACTCGATGTGTCCCTTTCATGTCGATGTGTCTTTCTCTCTCTCTCTTCCTCTCTCTCCCTCCCACTCTACCTGAATAAAAATGGAAAAATGTCCTTGGGTGAGGATAAAAAAAAAATGTGATTATTAATTCCAAGAAGAAAAAAAATACACAAAAAGGAAATATAATTATAGTATATTATCTGGCTCCATAGTAAACAATATTTGGATAGGCCAATTAATAGGAATACTGACTACTAATTTAACTTCTAATATAACTATACGGGAAAGATGAGACATTATAACAATCTCTGAATCCTCAACTTTTATTAGCAAAAATCAAAGAAAAAAGATTAATCAAAAACTAGAAATTTAGGCATATCACTTTAAAATTTACAGATAAATACCAGGAGAAATAACTAAAATATTTCAAAGTGACTGTCACTGAGAAATGCTTGAAAGATAAAACCCTTTAGTACTATTTAATTTTAAAATTTTGTACATGTATTATATTGATCACATAGTTTGCAAATAAAGAGAATTTTCTTAAATTTCAAAATTAATAGCCTTCCATGTGAAGATGGCAAGTTGAGCACATGCATCCAACTCGATTCTTTCCAGAAACTTCAGTAGCACAACAGAGAAAAGATTTAGAAAGGCACAGAAATCTCCTACAAAGAGAAAAAAGATAAAGAGATATAAACTAAGAGAAGAAGTTTAATGTAAGAGTGCCAGGAACCAAATAAGATTCCAGAAAGAGAGAGATAGTCTGTCACCAAAGAAGTAATTCAAAAAATTTTCTTACAACTGAAGAACATGAATTTTTAGATGGAAAAGATTAAAAAACACCCAACAAAACAGTCACAATACAGCCACACCAGAGCACATCAACATGACATTTAAGAACAAGGAGGGAAAAGAGAAGATTTGCAGGCTTCCAGGGAGAGATCAGGAGTTTTGCACAATGAAACAGCTGTGAGTGTGGCATCTGTTGTTCTCCATGGAAATGGGAATGTCTACAGCCACACCACCCTGAACACGCCTGATCTCGTCAATGGTAATAGGAAAGTTAAAAGGCAAGGAAGCAGTGTCTTCAGAATTCTAAAAGAAACAGAATTCTAGCCCTGGCTGGGTGGCTCAGTTGGTTGGAATGTGCCCCCTTACACCAGAGGTTGCAGGTTGGATTACTGGTCAGGATACACACCTAAGTTGCAGGCTTGATCCCCAGACTCTCCTTCTCTCTCTCTCCCCCCCTCCAACCCTTCCTCTCTCCCTTTCTAAAATCAATAAACATATTCTTGGGTAAGGATTAAAAAATGTTTTTAAAAGCCTGGCCACGCCCTGGCCGGTTTGGCTCAGCGGTTAGAGCATCGGCCTGCGGTCCTGAGAGACCCGGATTCGGTTCCCGCTAAGGGCACGTACCTCGGTTGCAGTTTGTCCCCGGCTCTGGTCGGTCGTGCGGGTGGCAGCCACTGGATGTGTTCCTTTCACGTCGATGTTTCTCTCTCTCTCTCTGTTCCTCTCTCTCCCTCCCACTCTACCTGAACAAAAAAATGGGAAAATGTCCTCGGGTGAGGATAAAAAAAAAAAAAAAAAAAAAGTCTGGCCAGTATGGCTCAGTGGACTGAGTGTTGTCCCATGGACTGAGAGGTCCCGGTTCGATTCCCAGTCAGGGCATGTGCCCTGGTTGCGGGCTCCATCCCCAGTGGGAAGCATGCAGGAGGCCGCCAATTGATGTTCTCTCTCATCGATGTTTCTGTCTCTCTCTCCCTTCCTCTCTCTCTAAAAAAATCAATAAAAACATATTTAAAACAAAAATTTTTTTAAAGAAAGAGAATTCTATATCCATGTAAAAAACAAAAAGCATCTTATAACATACAAAGACAAACTATTTACTCCGATGCACTCTTCCTCAGGAGTCTACTAGAAGATGCATATATTCATACAAAACCAGAGAACAGAACAACAGGAGGACGTGGGGCCCAGGAAACACGAAATCCAAAGGTTCTACTGATCAAATCATATTAAAACAGGTCTTGAGTTATTGGTTTTAATAAGATCAAATTCATACCAAGGCAGTAAGTGGACTTTTGAAATGTTAAAATATTTCATGTGCTTTTAGATTTACTTAGTTATAGTTTTATACCAATCTGAGCACAGAAGAGATTACAAGAGGTTTTAACTCTTACCTGCAACAAAGCAGCAAATAAGTATACCACTATGAAGATTACAGTTAAAGACGTGTGGCCACTTTTCATCAAATGAATCGTGTAGAGGAAAATTAAATGTCCAGGAATCACTAAAAGCAGTAGAACTTGAGCAGACTTATTATTTACTCCTGCAATATAAAATGTAAAAGTTGTTAAAACAAAATCATATTTTGGTTTATAATGGGTCACAGCTACTGAAATTTGAGGATTACTTTTTAGTTACTATATTACATGGCATCATATAAAATGCAATTACTAAAAATTAATTTCAACTATTTACAATTCACTTAATTCTTTGAAATTCTCACTATGCATATGTTAATCAAATAAAAGGTGGTTGATAAAAATTTGCTATGAAGAACACTGGTCAGACTTTGATATCATAAAAACAGAGGAAAGACAAAAGAAAAAATAGATAAGTTCTTGAAGTTCTGAAATGTTTTCCTTTTCCTTTAGAGTTCTTTCGTCGATATCACAGGTTGGGCATTGCTGATTCTCATTCAGAAGTAAAAAAATACATTTATTTTCATCAGAAAAAGTGACAAGAATTGTGAGGTTCAAAACTGTTTTAGTTTTTTGGTAATCACATGCCTGGTTGACATAAATAATGCACCGTTCCTTGTAGCTGAGGTTATCACCTCGCATCCTGCTTGTTTGAAATCAAAGGCCAAACAGATTACTACAGGAAAGACAGTACAGCTATCTCCCTAAATCATTTAGCAGTGTTTGCTTGTGTCCATGAGGTTCCTCTTCCCTGACTCATAAACAAGATATCCCAGAGAAAGGGACAAAAGAGAATACTTATACCAAGTTCCTCAGCAACTGCAGAATTGATACAAATGATTTTTGCTCACTGAGATTTAATGAACAAAATCTATTCTATTTAAAATCTATTTAGCGCTTAGACATAAAAAATGTTGTGCAACACTCGCAAACAAAACATGTATCTAACAAAGGTTGACCACCTATACTCACAAAGAAGAAAGTTCCCGAAATAAAATACGTAAAAATTCACAAGCACATACCTGGACCAAAAAAAGTTCGGAACGGGTAGTAACAGCCTTTGCGCTCGTCAGGCAGTTCCCCGGGAATGCTGTGTAAATGGAGGTGGGTAGAAATCCTGCTAGCCTGAATGGCCACCAAATTACCACCAATGCCTGGAACATTAAGAAAACAAAGTAGGTATCTCATATTTTAAACAACATGCATAAGTTCAACCTACTGCAGGCCTCTTTATGTCACATCCTGGGACAACAAAACAAAAAAAGAAGTTCTTCTAAAATGTTGATTGAAATTGAGGTAGATATTCCAAAGGCATTAAAAATAACATTGTTACAAAAGACACTCAATATTTTTTTTAAATCTGACTTACTTTCTGGTCTGAAAGCAGATCAAAATAAGTAATTTTTTAAAATTACTATCAATACCAAAATATAAAACTAGGTAACAAGATGTATCATGTTTATCATCTTAATGAGTGGGAAAATAAGCTGCATTTATTCAAACAGACAAGGCTTGATACTTTTCTTCTCAGGTTCCTAAAAAACTTTGTATATGGCATCAAAAAAAAACCAACAACAACAACTCAAGAAAGTCATCTTTTAATCTAGATTATCCTCTCATACACTCTGAGAAGAGCTGATGCCAAGAGGTGAAATTAACACCAAAGGGTGGTAAGCCCCACCTCACCCCCAAAGGTGAGACAGGACACCCAGACTTTCTCCTTTGACAGAATATGGGAGGAAAGGCAGCAGCCATAAAAGCAAGCAGGAAAAAACAGCTGAAAATGTCAAACTGCCCAACGCTGTGTGTGGGCCAGCATACTTGGCGTCCTAGACACCCGGGGAGGTCCACGTTCCCGGCCAGCTATCTCTGGAAGCCTCCACCAGGAGCTTAGGAAACAGATGAGGTAGGGCAGAAGACTTGAGATGGCCAACCTCAGAGGCACACAGGCAAGAAGTCACATTTCTTTCCGAATCCCTCCGCCTGGGGTGGGGAAGGAAACATGCCCGCCACCTGATCCCAGAGAAAGATCAGTGGCCACTGGAGAAAAAGTAGAAGCAAAGCTACCTGCTGCTGGAGGAATGGAAGAGAAATCTTGCTCAAGCCCAACCTGGCAGAGTTTGACTGCCAATAGCAGGAGGGGAGAAACCCTGAGAAAGCCCCACCTCTGCGGACCAAGTGCCTGGGGACTGCCAAAGATAGAAAACAGTGGGAGAATCCCGACCTCCACCCCGGGCCTTCACCAAGGAACAAGCATCGGCAGCCTACTGTGAGAAGAGGCGCAAGAGCACCGATAGCTAACGTTCCATGCTGCAGGCATACTGCAAACCAGGCTTTACACTAAGCAGGAGGTAGCAGGAGCTCATCAATAAAGAAATTTGAAGTCAGTGGTGCACTGAAGGTAACTATAATAACCATATAAAAACAAACCCAGCTCAACTACTGGCTAGATTGACTTACTCCACCATACTAACGACCTAACAGAAGAAAAAGCCTGCCTATTTCTAGGCATATATTGTCGCTAAACACCCTTCAGTGCAGAGGAAGCCCCCACCCAAGGAATATCTGGCTTCAAATGTCAGTAGTGTCAAGACTGAAAAACTCTATATTAAAAAAAAATTGATGTATGCTTCCACTATCTGAAAACAGAGAACATGCCTCTAAATAACCTGAAGCAAATAATAAAAATTAGGAAATATTTGTAATTGAACAGAAATTAAATACTACATACAAAAGAATGTGGGATGCAGCTAAGGCAATACTAAGAGGCACAGTTAAGTCTTAAATGCATATATTTGCAATGAAGAAAGGCTTATTGAGCTAAGCATCCGTCTAAAGAAATTGGAAAAGACAAAATCAAACACACAGTCGGAGAAGGAAAATAATAAATAGAGAAGAAATGTAAAAGATCAATAAAAGTTAAACATTGGTTATTTGAAAATAGTACACAAAAACATCAGAAACCCAAAAAAGGGAGTCATAATTCCAATTACTGCCAATTAAAAAATATGAATATTATGAACAACTTTACACAAATAAAATTAAAAATCAAAATAAGAGGGAAAATATCCTAAAAATATATAACAACTACATAAACTCAAGAAGAAAGAGAAAATCTGAATCATTTAATAATGATTAAATAAATTAAATCCAACATTTTAAATCACCCCTGCCACATCAGCAGGCCCACATAAGTTGTTTGCCCTGTTTTTTTTCAAGTAAGTTCTGCCAAGTATTTAAGCAATAAATAATTACACTCATACATATTACCTACAGTATAAAATAAGAGTAAGTATATCTAACTCAAATAATGAGGCTAGCATAACTCTGGGTTTAAAATTCAAAAATGGCAATATAAAAAAAAAATCATAGGTCAATTGTTTTCTTTGTTTTGTTTTGTTTTTAAGTGAGAGGGAGGAAGGAAGGGAAGGGGAAAGAGAAAGAGAGAAACATCAATGTGAGAAAGACATCGACTGGTTGCCTCCCACACGACCCTGACCAGGGCCGGGGACAAACCACAACTGAGGTATGTGTCCTTGACCGGAATCAAACCTGTAACTCTTTGGTCCACAGGTCAACACTCTAACCACCGAACCAGACTGGCCAGGGCCATAGGTCAATCTTAAGAATAAAAAGAAATGCAAAAAAAAAATAAAAAAAATACTAAACAAACTATTAACAAACCAAATCTAGTAAAATATTAAATGCATAATACATCACAAACTGAATTTATCCTAGAAATGTAAGGCTTATTTAATATTTGAAAATAAATTAACACAATTCACCATGTTAACAAATGAATGGAGGAAAAAAATAATATTATATGAATAAATGCAGAAAATTTGATAAATTCAACATTTTGTCATTTATGATTAAAAACTCTTAGCAAACCAGAAATTGAAGAGGACTTTAAAAAAAAAATCATATAGTGTTTTTTTTTCAATTGATTTTTTTTTAGCTAGAGAGGAAGGGGGAGAGAGAGAGAAATAGAAACATCAGTGAGAAACATCTATTGGCTGCCTCCTGCATGCTCCCTACTAGGGATCAAGCCTGCAACCTGGGCATGTGCCCCAACCAGGAATCAAACCAACAACCTCCTGCTGCATAGGTCAATGCTCAACCACTGAGCCACACCAGCTGGATAAAGAGGACTTCTTTAACCTGGTAACCACACACACACACACACACACACAACCTTAGATATGGCAAATAAGGTGCTGCAGATCAATTAGTAGTGCTATAGACTTTTCAATAAACAGTGCCAAGGTAATTGGTTATTAATATGCCTGAAAAGTATCATGAAATTGGACCCTTACTCTCATACTATATGCAAAAATCAACTCTAGAAAAGAATTTTTAAAGAGAAAAAGTGCAAACTATAAAAGAAAAGGTTGATAAATTTGTCTACAGTATAACTTTAAAATCCTGATCATAATATATACTGTAGAGAAAGTGAAAAGATAAGATCTTTGTAACACAAAGGACTACCCACCAGAATATATGAAGAACTCATACAAATCAACAGAAAAAGGACAAAAGAATAGGTAGTTCACAAACGAGGTTGATTCAAATTGCTAAACCTTATGAAAAGGTGCTTAACATCATTGGTAATCAAGGAAATGCAAATAAAAGCATAAATATTACACACCCAAAAACGTTAGCCTAAACTGGGAGCAATGATGTGGAGCGACGAGAACTCTTATACGTAGCTGTCAAGAGTATAAATGGTTAATAATCCCTTGAGAAAACACGTTGGCTTCTCATATAAATGTACTGATGTGCACAATGTCCTCACCACACCTCATTTAGTAAATAAAAAATTCATTAAAAGCAAATGCTTACGTTAATGTAAAATGTTAAAAGGTTTTAAAATGCATGCAGGGAGCTCTGAACATTTTTCTAAGGGAAAATAAATGTCTTTAAAAATATGTTTGAAAGGGAAACTAAGTCACATGGACTATGAATAATTATGGCACATAAATGTATAGCTCTAACCTCTGCAGAGTTGACTCTGGCTCAGATGACATGCTTTGAAAACCCCCTCAGCCACTTACTGTGACTTCAGTGTTATTTAACCTCCTGGAGCTCAGTTTTCTAATCTGAAACATGATAATTTAATATCTAACTCATAAGAAGTAGAATTAAATAAAATGAGGCATACATGAAAGACACAACAGTTTCTAGACATGGTAAAGGCTCAATAAATGATGATGGTGATGATGATGACAGTGATACAATTGTGCAAATAATGTGATTCTGACTTGGTATTTTCTAATTGTTAAGTTCTCACACTTAACTTGCTAGAGAATTCATTAGTCAGAGAATGTGCAGTAATTGTGCTACTTTGATTTGATTTTTTAAAGTAAGAAAGAGAATAAATCACTTGGTGTTCATATTTTAAGCATCATTTTATCTGCCTTCTATTATTCAATGAATTTTCCACTAGAAGTCAGTGATAGCTATTTTTAAAAGTCTGAATTTTCCAAATCTGAGCCCACTTGATAAAGTAAACAATCGGAGTAGAACTTTGAATAACTGGCATGCATTGGTTCTCATCTGATAATAGTACATAAACAAGGTCGGTAACTCAACCTTCCTAATGCCGGGGCCCTTTCATACAGTTCCTCATGTTGTGGTGACCCCCAACCATAAAATTATTTTCATTGCTACTTCATAACTGTAATTTTGCTACTGTCATGAATCGCCATCGGAAATATGTGTTTTCTGATGGTCTCAGGCAACCCCTGTGAAAGGGTCGTTCGACCTCCAAAGGGGTCACAACCCACAGGTTGAGAACCGCTGCAACCGGAAGTAAATTAGCACGTCCTAGAAACCGAGAGGTTGAGAGTCCACACTACTCAAGCACCTTCACAAGAGTTACTGGATAAACCAACAAGAACAGCCTATGCATCCATGGATTTCTGTTCAGAGCCCCCCAAGAGGAGAATAATCAAATGTTAAGAATTATATAAAATGCAGAGCAAAAGATGGCACTCAGATACCTTCTTCAAGGCTAGATATGTACCCGAGGAATGTGTGTGTGGTGGTCCCCGGTTCACCTTCATGCTCTCTGGGGAGTCCCTTGGGGGTAATGCTCTATTTGGTATTTAGGAGATATGGAATGCTTCAATGCAAATGCTAAGAGCAAAAGCATACTAAGAGCAAAAGCATACCATTAGACTAAGAATATCTACTCTATAACTGCTCTTGGATTAAATTGGGGGGGGGCTATTAATGATTAGTTGTAGCTCTCTTCTAAAAAACCTCACTGGTAGAACTTTATTGAACTACTTTTATCATTTCTTTGTTACCATGGCCAGACTAGATGATACAAATAAACCCTTATAAATAATCAACTTCTCCCTTCCTCTTCCCTGCACTCCCTGACCTGCCTCCCTCAGCAGACCAGGAAACCAGACACGCTGGTGTCACAACTACACCGAATGAAAAATACTCCAAACCAAAAACAAAATGAACTGGGATTTTCTCAGAAAGGGTCTAGTACAACATTTCCAGATAGGTGAGCAAAATTTTATGGTAAACAATGCAACTAGTGTGGGAACTTACTATAGTTTTATCCTCTCATGGGGTTGAAACCCCACCATGATCTCATCATGATCACTGTTTACATCTTTAAACTCTTTAAACTACAATGGACATATTAATCTGAAACAGTTTCTTTAATGTCAAAAATCCTTTCTTTCGATCCTGATATACACTATATTTCTACAAAGAGCTAGTTTACCCACATTTCTCTTAAATTACTTAAATTCTTCACAGACTAATTGCATTACTAAAGCTGGATGAGAGCATGTATAGACTGCTACATAAATTAATAACACTAGTAAAAACAGCTTCTTCAATATAGAAATAATTAGTGAGCCTTCGGTATCCGCAACTCCTAACTGAAGTGCTTGAGAAACGAGAATAAGCTCAGTTGATAATATAGTTTGATAAATATGAATAAATCATCAGCTGGTTCATCTAAGAACTGCTTTAAAATCCAACTTCATGTTTTGTTAAATTCAGAAATATATGTTTCCAATATATGTTTAGCACTCATATCATAGAATATATTTCAAATTATTCAAGAATCTTTTGCACATCCCCAAAGGAACGTGGAGTGAGAGTTCACGTTGTTGAAAAGGAAATCCTCATAACCACCAGCACAGGAGCTCCTGTATCGTCCATACACACCTACAGTCTCACACCTCACATGCCTCTGCATTTTCGCCTGTCCTTCTTTCCTGACTCCTTATCAGAACTCACATGCAGGAATCACTCTTTTAGTTCAAGAAATGCAAAGGGGTGAGGGGATGTGGCTTCCATTCTTTCACATTTTTCTGAAGAAATACACGTGACTGCTCACAGTGAAGACCCTTTCATCTAAATGAGGGCAGGCACTCACCTCCCAAGTCCCTAATTCATCACCCTTTACCGCTTCCTTCCAGTGCACTTGTAGATGACCAGATGACCCAACGGATGACTGACACAGTCTCCACATTTTGTACTTCCCTTACCCTCACATCTGCCAGAATCGCTGCCATTAACAAATCATCAAACCAGTGCTGGCGAGGGTGTGGAGAAAGGGGGACTCTAGCACACTGCTGGTGGGAATGCAGACTAGTGCAGCCACTGTGGAAAACAATACGGTGTTTCCTCAAAAATTTAAAAATGGAACTGCCATTTGACCCAGTGATCCCACTTCTAGGAAATACCCATCAGAAAGAATATATGTACCCCTATGTTCATAGCAGCACTATTTACAATAACTAAGATCTGGAAACAGCTCAAGTGTTCATCGGTAGACAAGTGGATAAAAAAGCTGCGGTACATATGCACAATGGAGTACTATGCAGCTGTAAGAAAGAAAGATCTCTTACCCTTTGGAACCTGGAGAGTATTATGCTAAGTGAAATGAGCCAGACAGAGAAAGACAAGTATTGTATATCTCACTTATTTGTGGAATGTAATGAACAAAATAAGCTGATGATCAAAACAGATCCAGAGACATGGAAGTAGGGAACAGACTGACAAGCCTCAGAGGGAAGGGGGATGGAGGGGCAGGAAGAGATAAACCAAAGAACTTAAAGGCATATATGCACAACCAATGGACACAGAGGACAGATCGTGCATTCCTAGAGGGGACAAACATTGCTTCGAGGGGGGCAGAGACATACTCTTGTTCATTTTATGTATAAAGCACAGATATACACACAATACATAAATGGATAAATGGGATATCTGTGATACTGAAATTTCATGGGTAAGCACATTTAGGGGAAAAAATCTTTAAAAATGGCTCTTTCAAGGTGTGATAATAAAAAATAAAAAAAAGGCTGAGAAACACTGCCTCCTTCTTCACCAGAGTGTGCCATCCACACATCACAATTTCCTGTGTGTGTCATGACATGAAAGAGGCTGGGAAACACTGCCCTAGAGAAATGAATCTATGGGCTTTCTTGGGACCACTGAAGCTGCTGTGATGAGTAAGGCCCTTCATCTCAGTCTCTGTTTCCTACTCCTGGCTCTGTATTTCCACCTGTCTCTCTTGACTCCTTTTCTTACTGCATCAAACTACGGGGGATCCTTTCCCTCAATGTGTAGTCCCCCACTCCAGGGCCTTGCTCCCTCATTATTCACCATCTCCCATTCGATCCTCCCTTCCCTATTACTCCTCACCCCCTTGCCAATACACATACCTACATCTCTCCTATCTTGGAGAAAATTCATTTCGACTTCTATGTGTTATTCTAATTCTATTCTTTCCACTTCAACCATTTAACAAGAAATCTAAATGTGCTATTGCCAAGATTTTTGTTGTTTTGTACTTAGTACTTAATAGATGCAAAATACTTATAAGACCTATATAAGCCATAAAGAATCATACTACAAAACCTGTGTACCCACCACCCCATTTTAAAGAAGAATACTGCAAAGCTCTAGAACTGTTTCTGATGTCAGGTGAAATAACAGAAATACTCATTAAAACTTACTAATAATGGGTTGTTGTGGCTGAAGTTAAATGTCTCACTGAAACGTTGGACAATACAGCTCTAACAATCATGCATAGACGATATTTGTGCTAGTGAATTCATCAGCGAATATTCACTGAAGAGGACGTAAACAGGTGGAAGGAAAGCAGTCATCATCCCAGGCCATGAAAATTAGACCTCTTACAGCCATCATAGAATAATTTGGTTAGGACGATAAAATTGTACAGGTGCAGCCCTGGCCGGTTTGGCTCAGTGGTTGAAGCGTCGGTCTGCGGTGGAGAGACCCGGGTTCGGTTCCCGCTAAGGGCACGTACCTCGGTTGCAGTTTGTCCCCGGCCCTGGTTGGTCGTGCAGGTGGCAGCCACTCGATGCGTCCCTTCACATCGATGTTTCTTTCTCTCTCTCTCTCTCTCTCTCTCTCTCTCTCTCTCTCTCTCTCCCCCTCCCGCTCTATCTGAACAAAAAATGGAAAAATGTCCTCGGGTGAGGATAAAAAAAAAAAAAGTTGTACAGGTGCAGCAGCATATAGAGAGCCTGGACAGCTAGGCAGAAGATTTCAAACTTGAGCTGAGAGGCAGGAGAAACCACTGCTAAGGTCATCATCTACAGACATGTAATAAAAACAAAGTCTGAGGAAGGCCAGTTGTTAGTGGCATTTCACTGGCAGCGAATAGGGAGTGAGTCAGAAAGGCTCCTTGATTGCTTGAACGACGCCTGGAGTGAGACGTCAGCAGACACAGTGGTGACGTATACTTGTTACACTGTAAGTGAACAAGTAAATCAGTTCAAGGGTAAATCAACAGGGCCGGGTTGTTGTCGATGGGGAGAGGATGAAGGGCCAGGTTGAATCAAATGGTTCCGTGATTTGAAGGGTGGGTGATGGGGACAATGGTGCCACCAGAAAAACTGGGAGGGGGGATTCTAGGGGAATTTTGTTCATGGACATTCTGAAGCTACATAAAAATTTAAATGTAGGTAGAAATTTTTGATATAAAATTAGATTTTGGAGAACTTGCCTTCATATAACATATTTTCTTATACATAGATAACACAAAAGTAATTTATATTAAATGTGTAATACATCCTGTGACATGTTTTCCCCAGGTAGAATTGCTTTTTAAATTATATTGCCTTGGGCTATACTAAAATCAAATTTAATGAAAGCCAGCCCAAAACCCAGTAGGACTAGATTAAAATGATCTTATTAAACAGAATCCAAACAAAAATCCCTGTGAACTTAAGTACTGTAATCCCCATTTTACAGATAAGAAAAAACGTAAGACAGATTTTAAAGGGATCAAGAGAGGAATGATAGATTTTTTTCTTCCTTTACTTGATTAACTTTTATTTTTTATTTTTATAGAATTTATTGGGGGGCATGATCGATTTTAATGGACTCAACTGAGGCAAGCAATGCTTACCCTGAGCTAACTCTAATGTATCCGTGAAAACTGACAGGAGCAGCAATAAAACAACACCAGATAGCAGATGAACCCCAAGAATTCAAAACTGAAATATCATATTTTGCCTTACTATCCTTAAAAACCTGGTGTGCCTGTCTCTCAAACTAATATCTAGTGATAAGATTAAGAAACAGCTCAAAACTGGTAAGATTATGAAACATTGCAAAAACGTGTTCTGCACACTGAAAAGGGGGAATGTCCTTTCCAATGTCAGCAGCAGCCCGTGGCTGGAGAGAGGATGAATGGAATGGGGAGAGAGTGCTCTTTAAATCTGAGCCCCCAAATTCCTATTCGCATCTAAGAGCATATACAGATTTGATATCATCATAACATAGTGTATCTGATTCTTACCATTAATAACTGGTGTGTAAACAACAATTCCAACCAAGTTTGGGTCAGATACAGTTGTGTCCAGAATAAGGCCTCCAATGCTGAAAGATACAAAAGTGTATAATTGAGGGAAGAGGAAAGGAAATGTACTAATATGAAGATGTTCTTTACATACAAACACTCCTATTTTTAAGAATAAAATATTTAGATATTTAAAAAATGGAATAAGAAATATTCGAAGTAAAAATTAATATCAGTCACAAATGTTGAAAATAAAACACCGCATAAGCTGTAGCCCCACATTTCAGGACTCTCTGATCTCCAATATATGTTACTCATAAAAAGGAAAAAGTATATATTTTAAGTGCATTAAAATGTATGGAATGCCCTGGCCACTATGGCTCAGTGGTTAGAGCATCGGCCCGCGGACCAGAGAGTCCCAGGTTCGATTCCCACTAAGGGCACATACTTGGTGGCAGTTGGGGTCGTGTGGGTAGCAACAACTTGATGTGTCTCTCTCACATCAATGTTTCTCTCTCTCTCTTCCTCCCTCTCTCCCTCCTGCTCTACCTGAAGATAAATGCAAAAATATCCTTGCGTGAGGATTTTTTTTAAAAGTATGAAATGCTTTGGCGAGTTCGGCTCAGCGGTTAGAGCATCGACCTATAGCCCCAAGGGTGGCGGGTTCAATTCCTGTTGAGGGCACATTCCTGGGTTGCAGGTTTGATCCTCGGCCCTGATCAGGGTCATGCAGGAGGCAACCAATCAATGTCTCTTTCTCTCTCTCTTTCTCTCTTTCTCTCTCTCTCTCTCTCTTTTCCTCCCTCTCTCCTTTCCATGCTAAAAAAAATAAATCAATGGAAAAATATCCTCCGGTGAAGATTAACCAAAAAAAATGTATGCAAGGACATATAAGAAATTATTAACAAGTTGGCCGTCATCCCAACTTTCCCTTCAATCTCCCCATGCTGAGTCTTAGTCTATGGACTGTGACCAAGTCCTATCACTTCACAGGATCCTGTTGCCTGAATCCTTCAGGAAAAAACAATGTACATCACAGAAAAATGAACCACATGCTATCCTCATTCCTATTTCGTCTTATTTCTTATGTCCTCATTTTGATAAAATTGACCTCTATCAGCTTTTATATGAAAGGGCATATGAGAAGCCAGTATTTTGAAATCCTGCATGCCTGAAAACTTTGAGTCTGTCCTTACGTTTGGTTGATACTATGACCATATTTTATGTTCAAATAATTATCCCTCAGGATTCTGAAGGACTCACTTCTGGTGTTGCTATTAGACATCATTCTGACTCACAATCCTTTATATGCATGAAATTCGTTTTTATTCTGGAAGCTTCTGGGCTGTATGATAATGTGCTCTGATTTGGGTCCCTCCTACTCCAATTCATTGTGTGGGATCCTCAGCAGACCCTTTCAAACTGGAAGTTGTGTTCTTCGATTTGGGGGAATTTTCTTGAGTTATTTCTTTGATAATGTCCTCTGCCTTTGCTTGCTTCCAGCTGTCTACCTCTCTGTTCTCTGTTCTGCTTTCCAGGGTGGTTCTTCAAGCCTATCTTCTGACTGTTCTGCTGAGTTTTTTGCTTCTGCTATTTGCATGTTTTTAAATTCCAAGAGCTCTTCCTGTTTTTTGTTTTTTTTCCCAATCCTCCTTATTAAAGCATTCTATTCTTACAGAATTGTGGATACCACAGCTCTTCTTATTACTCTGAGGACACTGCAGATAGTTTTTTGAGGTTTTCAACTATCCCTGGACTTTCTTTGAGGACGCTTTTTTTGTCTCTTTCATGTTAGAAGCCTTAATCAAACGTCTGGTGATGTTAGTCTCCCCTCCTTAGGGGCACAGGAAAGCACACTCGGCGCTCTCTGTGTACCTGGGCAGAGCCTGCCCGCAGGGGGCCTATCTGAACAGTGGTCAGGTGGGAACGCAGTTCTTTCGCTGAAGGGCCTGCGAGGGTCAGTATGTGCAGGTTTTTCTGTGGTGCTAAAGGGTGATCTAATGTCTTGCCTGCAGGTACAAGCCTGACCCCCAGCAGCATAACCCCTTCTCGTGCCGGTGCTTCTGAACCTAGAGCCTCTCTGATTTGGTCTCTCCAAAGTGAATCCTTGTCTTCTGCTAAGGTGGGAGCGGGCAGTTACCTGGGTGGTCAAACTAGAGAAGGGCTTTTAGGATCTAATTGCTTCTTACACACACTTTCAACCACTCTTCATTGCAGCTTTCAGAAATACTCTAGGCCCCTAATACCCCACCTTTCTGGGTTTCTGAGGCTCAGGTCAGCGTGCTGCTCCTGGGTGCTCCCCACCCTACAGGAGCATGGGTTTCAGCTTTTTTCATTCTGTTAAGGACCATCCATTTCCCATCTTCTGAGTTTCTCACCTGCTGTCCTCTCTGCTCGCCTTCTCCTTGGGGTTTTATAGCTTTTTATCCTTTTACTGTCATTTTAGTACTCTCGGGAAGGAAGATAAACACATGTCCATCTACCATGTTTAACAGAAAATTAATGCTCATTTCTAGCTTACTCTTTTTACCAAATGTATAATGAACATTTACATTGCACGTCAATAGAAATATAGCAATGGTATTTTTAATGGCTGGCTGATACTCCATTTTGCGACTGTGCCACACTTCATGTGGTCGATGCCTGATTGCTAGGCCTCTAAGGTGTTGTTCTCTTTTTCTTTCATTAAAAATTTCACAACACCTTCCCTGTGAGCCCTGGCCAGTTTTGCACAGTGGTTAGAGCATCGGCCTGCAAACCAGAGAGTCCTGGGTTCGGTTCCCGCTAAGGGCATGTACTGCGGTTGCAGTTTGTCCTCGGCCCCGGTTGGGGTCGTGTGGGTGGCAGTCAGTCAATGTGTCTCTCTCACATTGATGTTTCTCTCCCTCTCTTTCTCTTCCCCTTTCTCTCCCTCCTGCTCTATCTGAAGATAAATGCAAAACAAACAAAAAATGTCCTTGGGTGAGGATTAAAAATAAATAAAAATTTCACTGTGATTAGGACCCTTGCAGCTAAATCTATTGTATATATCCTTAATTATATCCTTAAGTCCTGTCAGAGTTTTAGAAGTAGAAATTACACATTTCTAAGGCTTCCTGATACCTATCTGAGCAATTTAATATGAAAAACAAGCAATGTGGTTGTCAGGTTAGAACACACACACACACACACACACACACACACACTAAATTTCACCCAGCCACCTGATAAAGACTTGGTTGGAGAGAAGTTTGAAACCTCAGAAATGAGGTTCTTCTGTACAGCTACTGATTTCAATAATTCCTATCACTTATATCCATTATTACCTGGGATAATAAAGAACTGGCTACATAATATAATTTATCCCAGAAATAAAACCAGGCAATTGATTTGGGGCTTCTTTTGTTTTTTAAAAAAAATTTTTTTTCTTTATTGGTTTTTTTAGAGAGAGGAAGGAAGAGGGAGAGAGAGAGAGAAACATCGATGAGAAAGAACATCGACTGGCTGCCTCCTACATGCCCCCCACTGGGGATCAGGCCCGCAACCTATGCATGTGTCCTGACCTCCTGGTGCACAGGTTGACACTCAACCACTGAGCCACACTGAGCCACACTGGTCAGACAATTGATTTGTTTTAATATACACAAAGATACATGCATATGGACTACACACACACACACACACACAAATACCCATTTTAATACTAACCTACTTATAACCATAGCTGTTATGACAGGCTCCCAGCCTGAGTGAAGAACTGTCCTTGTGGCTGGATGTTTGGCTGCTATTATAATCCAGATTGGAGTTAGAGCCAAGAAAAAGACACCAACTAATGGAGAAATGTAGTAATAGGTCTCTAAAATTAAAAAAGAGACAGCATTTCAATTTCTGTTCTAACCATGCAGTGAATGTAAATATTAAAAATTTACCAGAAGATATGTTACCAAACTTATTCACATGCTATTTATTTATTTTTAATTTCAAACAAATTTAAAACTGTAGATAAGGTAAAAATACTAATGTAAATAAAAACTAATACATTAATTCAACAAACATTTATTGAAATACCTAGGTGACCTCTATGGGAATAGCAATAATAATAAAAATAATAATAATAACAAGAACAAGAAGAGTAAAAAAAGCTAGCATTTATTTGGTTCCTACTATTTATTGAGTACTGTGCGAAATGCTTTATATTCACCAACTCATTTAACCGTCCTCACAAGTATGAGGCAGACACTGTCATTTTTATCTAATGAAGAAACTGAGGCTTAGGGGTTTATAGGGTAGAAAACCGGAAAAGAGGAAGCTATTACGGAGAGAGATTGAGAACTGAGTATCAAGCCTCAGTGTGAACTCTACAAGACAAGGGCAAGAATAACTGGAGATTTGTAAACTGGAAAATTCTTGGGGTTTACAAAGGGCTGGAAGTCATTCAAGATCTAACCCCCAAGGGGGGACAGGCCTCTCTGAACACTGAGAACATTCAGTCAACCCAGGACGGGTCATGTCTCGGTGGCCAAGCTACAACCCTAGTGTCAGGTCTGCTGTTGATCTGCCCCAGTCAACTCAGAACCAAGCCTGTGAGGCTCAAGCTAATCCACAAGTAACAGCCTATGAGAACAAAGTTCAATACTTTGTAAAGAAAAAAAAATCGAGCACATAACAATATTATATTCACAATGTGAAGCATCCAACCAAAGATTACTTGTAAGAGTTTGGGATAATATATGGTAGCATTTTACAGACTTAGTTAAATGCCCTGCTACATTCTACTTACATTAGACATTTCACCTGTCTCATTAGAGTATCTAAGTACTTATAATAATCTTTATAAAGCTAAGAAATTAAATGTGCAAATACAATGAGACTTTTTTTTCCCCTTTATTGATTTTAGAGAGAAAGGGAGAAGAAGAGAGAGAGGGAGAGAGAAACATCGATGAGAGAGAACATTGATTGGCTGCCTCCTGCACACCCCTCACTGGGGATTTGGCCCACAACCTGGGCATGTGCCCTGGCTGGGAATTGAACTGGCAACCTCTTGGTGCATGGGTCAATGCTCAACTACTGAGCCACACCGGCCAGGCAATACAATGAGTCTTTTTTTTTTTTTTATCCTCACCCGAGGACACTTTTCGGTATTTTGTTCAGATAGAGTGGGAGGGAGAGAGAGAGAGAGAGAGAAACATCGACGCAAAAGGGACACATCCAGTGGCTGCCACCCACACGACCTAACCAGGGCCGGGGACAAACTGCAACTGAGGTACATGCCCTTAGCGGGAACCAAACTCGGGTCTCTCCAGACTGCAGGCCGACGCTCTAACAGCTGAGCCAAACCGGCCAGGGCAATACAATGAGTCTTAAGTTTTCATAAATATTCATATAATGTATACAAATTTAGTAAGATTTCTATTTAAAAACCATAGGAATGCCCTGGCCAGTTTGGCTCAGCGGTTAGACCATCAGCCGGCGGACCAGAGAGTCCCGGGTTCAGTTCCCACTAAGGGCATGTACCTCAGTTGCAGTTTGTCCCCAGCCCTGGTTGGGGTTGTGTGGGTGGCAACCACTCAATGTGTCTCTCTCACATCGAAGTTTCTCTCTCTCTCTTCCCCCACCTCTCTCCTTCCCACTCTATCTGAAGATAAATGCAAAACTGTCCTCGGGTGAGAATAAAACAAAACAAAAACAAAAAAAAACAACACAGGTATAAGTCAATTACTTAATTATAAATTTTAAAATGGAATTAGAAGACGGACATATTACTCCAATGGGCTAAGTAGCAACTACACACACAAAAACTATGTACTGCTACATTAGCATAAAGCCATTAATACTATGAGTCAAATCCTCAAATATTTTTATACTTAATTCTAAATCTCCCTAGGGTTAAAAATTGCCTTCCTGCCCTGGCCGGTCTGGCTCAGTGGTTAGAGCGTCAGCCTGCAGTCCAGAGAGACCCAGGTTCGGTTCCCACTAAGGGCACGTACCTCGGTTGCAGTTTATCCCCAGCCCTGGTTGGGTTGTGTGGGTGGCAGCCACTCGATGTGTCCCTTTCACATCAATGTTTCTCTCTCTCTCTCTCTCTCTCTCTCTCTCTCTCTCTCTCTCTTCCTCCCTCCCTCTCTCTCCCTCCCACTCTACCTGAACAAAAAATGGAAAAATGTCCTTGGGTGAGGATAAAAAATTAAAAAAATAAAAAAATTGCCTTCCTCTTCTTGAAACAGTTACATCATTCCAGGACATTTGGGTAGTATCATTTTAACTAATCAGCGTTTTGTTATTTTCAGAGATTTCAGTCAGGGCATTCTGGATTCTTCTCAATGATTCTAATACTTATTTTTTACAGTAGAGACTTCATAAAGACGGTTGACCTCATAATCCTTGTAGCCTTCAGCCATAGATTGAAGTTAAATGTTACCAAATTTTCCTGACATCTCACAACCTTATTCATACTCTTATCTTTAATTGAATTTTGTATTTCTCCATCTTCCTAACATATTTCCAGAACTTCTCACCTATGACTAAAGATGTTTGAACGAGATAAGAACTCAATTTATTTCCTACCAGGTAGAAACAATTACTACAGATATTAAAATAATATCCAGCCCTGGCCAGTTTGGCTCAGCGGTTAGAGCGTCAGCCTGCGGTTCGGAGAGACCCGGGTTCGGTTCACGCTAAGGGCGCACGTACCTCAGCTGCAGTTTGTCCCCGGCCCTGGTTGGGTTGTGTGGGTGGCAGTCATTTGATGTGTCCCTTTCACATCGATGTTTCTCTCTCTCCTTCTCTTCCTCTCTCTCCCTCCCACTCTATCTCAACAAAAGATGGAAAAATGTCCTCAGGTGAGGATAAAATAATAATAATATCCAAACAAACTTTATTTTCATGGCTTTGTCTGACTTGCCATCATTATCTTTAAAATTATCTTTAAAATAATTATACTACCAAAATCCATTTAGAGGATCTTGACTAATACTACATATAGTGTCATTTTTCTCTTATGATTTTTTAAAAAATGAAAAACCTTTATTGAAAGGACTCCCAGTTCTCCTTTTTAAACCACTGGATAAGGATAAATAATGTTCTAATTAGGAAGTATTCTTACCTCTTAAAACAAGTAAGGTTGCCAACAATCTCTTTATAGGATTAAGCAGAAAACTAAAAGCATTAAAAGCCATTAAATACAAATGAAAAGAACTATTCTGCTAGGTCAGATCATCTTAGTATTTCATTTCCAGGTCAAGAGAGGAGCACCATGCCAGGCTTTCAAGTTATTTTCAACATTAAACCTCCGAAAGGTCATCTGAAGTTGAAAAAAAAATACCCAGCATCCCAACCCCAGAATCACTGCCTTGAATTTTCAAAGAGAACAAAAAAATTTCTCCGTAAGGAAACTAAAAATAATGAGTGCACAGTTCCTCAGAAACTTAAACAGTTATCATATAACCCAGCAATTCCACTCCTAGGCATACTGCAAGAGAACTAAAAACATACGGTCGTGCAAAAAACTACAAGAATGCTCATGGAAGCATTATTCATAATAGCCCCAAAGTAGAAGCAACCCAAATGATGAATGATAGTCCTAGCCAGTGTGGTTCAGTAGTTACAGCATCAGCCCATGAACCAAAGGGTTGTGGGTTTCATTCCCAGTCAAGGGCACATACCTGGGTTGCAGGTTCTATCCCTGGCCTGGGTTGGAGCATATGCAGAAGGCAACCAACCAATGTGTCTTTCTCACATCAATGTTTCTTTCTTTCTCTCTCTCTCTCTCTCTCTCTCTCTCTCTCTTTCTCTCTCTCTCTCTTCCCCCCCTCTCCTCCCCCATCCTACCTCCTTTCCATTCCCTTTAAAAATCAATGGAAAGCCCTGGCCAGTTTGGCTCAGCAGTTAGAGCGTCGGCCTGTGGTCCAGAGAGACCAGGGTTCGGTTCCCGCTAGGAGCACCTACCTCAGTTGCAGTTTGTCCCCAGCCCTGGTTGGGTCGTGTGGGTGGCAGCCACTTGATGTGTCCCTTTCACGCTGATGTTTCTCTCTCTCTCTCCCTCCCACTCTATCTGAACAAAATAAGAAAAATGTCCTCGGGTGAGGATTAAAAAAAAAATCAGCCCTGGCCGGTTTGGCTCAGCGGTTGGAGTGTCGGCCTGCGGTCCAGAGAGACCCGGGTTCGGTTCCCGCTAAGGGCACGTACCTCGGTTGCAGTTTGTCCCCGGCCCTGGTTGGTCGTGCGGGTGGCAGCCACTCGATGTGTCCCTTCACATCGATGTTTCTCTCTCTCTCTCTCTCTCCCTCCCGCTCTATCTGAACAAAAAATGGAAAAATGTCCTCGGGTGAGGATAAAAAAAAAAAAAAATCAATAGAAAAAGTATCCTTGGGTGAGGATTAACAACAACAACAATAAAGAGATGAATGATAAACACAATGTGGTACAGTCATACAATGGAATAATGGTAATCCACACAATGGAATATTATTCAGTACTGATTCATGCTACAGCATAGATGAACCTTAAAAACATACTAATTTGAAAAAAAGCCATACATGAAAGGTCACATATTGTATAATTCTATTTTTTTGAAATGTCTAAAATAGGCAAATCCAGAGAGACAGAAAGTTGCCAGGGAGCGGGGAAGGACAGAATGGGGAGAGACTTGCAAAGGTTTCTTTCGGGGTGATACAAATGTCCTGCAATTACACAACAGGTTGCACAATCTTATGAATGTACAAAACCCTACTAAATGGTACACTTTGAAAAGGTGAATTGTAGGGTATCTAAATTATATCTCAATTTTTAAAAATTCCAACAATTATAAAATAAAAAGGAGGGGAGACTATATCCCTCAAAAATGCCAATGGCTTAAAA